GCTGAGATTGTATCACTGCACTCCAGCCTGGCCAACAGAGCAAGACTCCATCTCAAAAGAAAGAGGAAGAGGATGAAATTCTTTTGGCACATGTTACAATACGGATGAACATTGAAAACATTATGATAAGTGAAATAAGCCAGACACAAAAGGACACATAGGTATAAACAAATATGTATGATTCTACTTATATGAAATACCTGTAATAGGCAAATTCATAGAGACAGAAAGTAGAATAGAGGTTAACAGGAGTTGGGAGAGGTGATAAGTTATTATCAATAAGTACAGATTTTGTTTTTGAGATAATAAAAAAGTTATGGAAATAGTGATGATGGTTTCACAACATCTTGGATGTACTTAATACCACTGAATTGTACACTTAACCATAGCTTAAAAGATTTTATATATATTTTACCAGAAATTTTTTTTTAAAAAAAGGTAAAATTGACTTCTCAAGAGCCAAATTCTCCAGACATCTTGCAAGCTTATAGGATTTCTGTGCAACATTTACCACCACTGACCACCAACCCTATCGGGAAACTCTCAGCTCACTTAGGGTGTCAGTTAGGAATGCTTTTGACTTCAAGTAACAAAAAACAAGACACATAGTAGCTTCAGCAAGTAGGGGATTGTGTCTCATGCTCCCTCACCCTTAGCATACAGCTTTGGTTCTCGTGATTCAAGGATGGCTGCTGCACCTCCAGGCTTCACTTCCACATCCCAGGCAGGAAAAATAAGGACAGAGAAAGAGCCATTGGCTAAATGCTGAAGATCCTGGCCAGCAAAGACTGTCCCCTCTAAGGGGCTTTCTAGGAAACCCAACCAGTGATGCCCACTTACATCTCACTGTCCAGAACTGGGTCACATACCCCTTGCTAATGGCAAAGCAGGATGGGAGTGTGAAAAGGCTTTTACCTGAGCACACCTCTTCCCAAAATCTAAATGGAGCTCTGTCAGAAAGGAAGAAAGAATAGTGGAGAATGAGGAGGCCACTGGCAAAGGCTGCTCCCTGGCTTCGGGGCTGTGCCTGGTCCCTGACTGTGGCTTCTCCAGCTCTCTCACTAATGTTTCCTGTGGCTCACCCTTGACCATTCAGCATTTCCCCACATTCTGACTTCGGCTCACTTCCTTTTTCATTCTAGGTACTTTCCCTGAGCCCAGGCACCTCCCAGCCCCTGCTTTCAGCTACCATCCCTCATCAGGGAATCCCAAACACACACATAACTTCTACCTGGACCCAACGCCTGAGCTATAGACACATTTGTCCATTCATTCAAAAATGTTTATGAAGTGCTTTCTATGAGCTGGACATTCCTCTAGGCCTCGAGGATACAGCAGGAAGCAACAGCCCTCACAGAGTTTACCTTCAAGTGAGGGAGAGGGTTTATTAACATGTAAGCAACTAAGCAGGTTGTTCTAACTGGTGACACCAGAAGACTCTGCAGCAGGATGCTGTGACAGAGGAGAGCGGGGATGGGAGGCTACTTCCAATAGGATAATCTCAAAGAGCTCTCTAAAGAGGTAACAAGAATAGTTGGTTTCCAGTCTGGGCAATAGGGTGATACCCCGTCTCTACAATTTTTTTTTTCTTAATGAGGCGGGTGTGGTGGTACGCACCTGTGGTCTCAGCTGTTGAGGAAGCTGAGGTGGGAAGCTGGCTTGAGTGCGGGAGGCGGAGGCTACAATGAGCCATGATCGTGCCGCTGCACTCCAGCCTGGGTGACAGAGCAAGACCCTGTCTCAAAACACAAAACAAAACAAAACCAAAAGAATAGTTGGTGCTGGCAAGGAGTGATTTTACAATTCCCACCTGAGGGGGCTAGATACTGTAACAAGAGCAACTGACATTTTGCAGATTCAGTGTGGAGTCATGTGTGGAAACCTAGGTGGCACCACCTTCCCATGTGATTCTAGAACATTTTGAAACCTACAGGGCCCGGTGCTCCAGTCAGTGGCTTGGTGCCCTATCCCTTGATCAGGCCTCAGCATTTCTCCCCCGGTAATTACTATATAATCACTCCCCACTTTCTTCAGGATTCTCTCCAGGGGAGGCCTTCCCTGGCCACATTTGCAATTGAAACTTCCTGCTTACCCAAACCAGCTTTTCCCCTTCCCCCGTCTTAGTTGTTCCCACAGCATTCATCACCACATAACATACACTATACATCTATTGCTTATTTGTTTATTGCCTGCCTTCCCTACCATAACTGGGTGTGTACCGAGGTAGGGATTCTTGTTTGTTCTTTTCACTGCGGAACCCCCGGTTTCCAGGCCTGTGTCGGGCACATATAAGATGCTCAGAAAATATTTGTTCAATGAGTAAATGGTCTACTCGCTTGGAGGCTCCACCCCTTCTCTCACCCTCCTCCCTCCTGGCCACCAGAGAGACCACCCCACTAGATCATTCCCCTGCTTAGCAACTTTCAACAACTCCCTGTGCTTTCAGAAGAGAGTGCAAATTCTCAACCCAGCACTGGGGATGGCCTGGCTCTCTATCACTCCAGCCTCATCTCCCACCCCTTTGACACCCTGCATTGCAGCCACATCACCCCATTCATAGGTCCTTGCCTATGTCTATTTTATTTTTCTCTTTCTTCCGGATCTCAGATGCAGAGAATTGAGTTCATCTTCCCTTCAGTTTCATGAGTCACTATCATTTTGGGTAAGTGGGCCAGTGGTAAGCTCTTTTTCTTTTTTTTGAGAAGGAGTCTTGCTCTGTCACGCAGGCTATAGTACAGTGGTGTGATCTCGGCTCACTGCAACTTCTGCCTCCTGGGTTCAAGCAATTCTCCTGCCTCAGCCTCCAGAGTAACTGGGATTATGGGCACACACCACCACACCCCGCTAATTTTTTTGTATTTTTAGTAGAGATGGGGTTTTACCATGTTGGCCAGGCTGGTCTCGAACTCCTGACCTCAAGTAATCTACCCGCTTCGGCCTCCCAAAGTGCTGGGATTACAGGCCTGAGCCACTATGCCCAGCCAGTAAGCTCTCTTGATTTATTTTATTTTAAATATTTCCCCTCTCCACCCCTAATCTCCGCTCTGATTTCATTTCCCCATGGAGGTGCCCACTCTAATACATTTGGTCCAGGTCCTGGGTGGCTTTCTATCCCTGGTAAATAAGTGGCATTCATTTATATAAACAAGTACATACATGACCTTGTACTACAGATCTCATTCTGTTTCTTACATTTTTCACCCAACACCGAGGGTGTGATGTATATGTATGTTGTGCGTGTGTGTGTGTGTGTGTGTGTATACAATCTCTCCATTTCTCATTGCTCCCCACCAGATTGGCAATCCCTGCTGTTGTCCAAGTCCCACCCTAAGCATCCACCACATCTTATTCTCCTCCCAGTGTTAGACCTTCCACTGCCTCTAACTCTCCGCAATTACAACAGAGTTGCAATGAACATCCTCATCCTTGTGTGCTAATAGACCTGAGAACAAAGCTCACTCAGGGTTGGGGCTGCTGGCTTTTAGATTATAGGCACACTGCCTGCAACTGCTCCCACATCCTCAGCAGCATTTGGACTTATCCACCTTTCTAATTATTGGTAAGCTAATGGGCATGCTTATTATTTCAGACCTAGGCTGCCTTCTGGGGTCAAAGGGGATACAGATGATTTTGCTGACACCTTATAGGTGGTACAAAGTCATAAAAGTAACTAACATTGATTTATGTAGTGAGAACACTATTGCCTTTTTAGTTTTCTTTTAGTAAGTTTTAGTGTGCTGGAGTGTGCTTTTAATTCCTTCCTCATACCGTCATGTATCCCATAACAACATTTTGGTCAATGACAGGACACATATAGGACAGGGGTCCCATAAGATTATCATGGAGCATATATAAAAACCTGATATATGGAACTTGATATTAGCATTTCAGATCAAGTAGGGGAAATGATTGATATTCAATATTCAGTAAAGATGATGGGACACTTAGTTTTCCAGATTAAAAAAATGTACATGTACTAGTATATATACCATCTAGGTTTGTATAAGTATACTCTATGATGTTCATGCAATGACAAAATCACTTAAAGACACATTTCTCAAAGAGTATCCCTGGCATTAAGAGACGCATGACTGTACTTGCTAGACTTCCTTTTTATTAAAGATTCTTTGGAAAGGCTACTGTTGTTTTTATTGTATTTATTTTTGTGGTTTTTGACTATTTCTGGTAAGCAATAATGGTTTTCTATGTTTGGGGAAATACTTCACTAAGTAAAAAAAGCAGGTCAATTGAAAGAAAAATGATAATTAAGTCATAGGTGTTCCCTAGATAGCACAGAAATTCTGAAGATGGTTTTTCATATCACTGAGGTTGGGGAAATCTGACATAAACCAAGGTTCAGCTGGGAACAGACGGGTCTGTCCTGATGCTCCAGGTGGCCTGGTAGCCTTTAGCTCACAAAATGACCCAGGTTCAAATCCTGCTTTTTCTGAGCAAGTTACCTCTCATTTCCCTCTGCTGTAAAACGGCGATGACAACATTCACAGGATTATTAAGATAATTAAATGAGATCTTAACAAGGGACTCTAGCACTGGGAGGGGCATAACGCATGGTGTCAGCACCTTTGAGTGTGAAGACATGGACTTTTTTCTTTTCTTTACTTTTTTTTTTTTTTTTTTTTTGAGACGGAGTCTGCTCTGTCACCCAGGCTGGAGTGTAGTGGCATGATCTTGGCTCACGGCAACCTCCGCCTCCCCAGATCAGGCGATTCTCCTGCCTCAGCCTCCTGAGTGGCTGGGATTACAGGTACCCACCACGACGCCCAGCTAATTTTTTATTTTTAGTGGAGTCAGGGTTTCACCATATTGGTCAGGCTGGTCTCGAACTCCTGACCTTAGGCAATCCACCCGCCTTGGCCTCCCAAAGTGCTGGGATTATAGGCATGAGCCCCCACGCCTGACTTTCTTTTCTTAATAGTTGCCTTCTCTCTGTGTGTCCTGTCCTTAGCAGTAGATTTTGTCATGCTTTTCCCCCTTCATGATTATGTTTTTAATTAATTTTTGTTTTGTGTGTCATCCTTGCCCAGGGGCCATGCTAACTGTCTCTGTCTCGTTCCAATTTTAGTATAGGTGCTGCTGAAGAGAGTACTTGCCATACTTTTTAAATGGAAATAGTACCCTTGGGCACTCACAGGAACTCCTTTGGAACCTAGAGATGGGAAGCTGGGCTGGGGACAGAGGTCGGGTTAGCAAGGGCAAAGCCCATGCCTCCCAGCATAAAGTCCTCTGCTGGGAGCAGTGTTTCCGTTTCAGCAGGCACGTCCCACTGCAATGGGTAAACCTGGCCACATCCGCTGACTCCCAGAGTCTGCCTGGGAACGTGGGCAGCCTGGGTCTCCCATGGGCCCTGTCTAGAGCACATGGTAGTGGGGTCAGAGGTCAGTCAGGGTAGCCTGGACAAATGCAGCCGGTCTGACAAGAGGGCAGGCATTGAGGTCTCTTCCGGTGAAGATCTTAACTGTCAAACTGTGGTCCTGGGTCTCGGATGTGGAATAAGCCTGGTAAAGACCCTGCAGAGCTCTGATGAGGTGGGGTGGAATTAGGAGGAGCCATCCATTTAATCAATAAATACAAACATAGATTTGACACTCCAGTTAAATGTTTGTATTAGTTTCCTATTGCTGCCACAACAGATTTAGTGGCTTAAAACAACACAAATCAATAATCTTACAGTTTTGGAGGCCAGAAGTCCAAAGTGGGTCTCTCCGGGCTAAAATGAACGTGTTGTTAGGGCCGCATTCCTTTCCGGGGATTCTGGGGGAGAATCCATTTTCTTATTTTCTCCAGGCTGCCTACATGCCTGGACTCAAGTCCCCTTTCCACCTTCAAAGCCAAAAATGGAATGGCCGGTTGAGTCTTTCTTATGGTGTCATCTTTCTGCTTCTGACCCTCCTGCCTCTCTCCTTTTTTTTTTTTTTTGAGACGGAGTCTCACTCTGTCACCCAGGCTGGAGTGTAGAGGGGCGATCTTGGCTCACTGCAAGCTCCACCTGCCGGGTTTAAGCAATTATCTCACGTCAACCTCCTGAGTAGTATCTGGCAGTATAGGCGCACGCCACCACACTCAGCTAATTTTTGTATTTTTATTAGAGACGGGGTTTTACCATGTTGGCCAGGCTGGTCTCAAACTCCTGACCTCAGGTGATCCACCCACCTCAGCCTCAGCCTCCCAAAGTTCTGGGATGACAGGCATGAGCCACAGCGCCCAGACCTTCCTGCCTCTTATAAGGTCTCTTCATGATAACATCAGGCCCACCCTGATACTCCAGAATCATCTCCTCATCTCAAGACCCTTATCGATTTTTTTTTTTTTTTGAGACAGAGTCTCGCTCTGTTGCCCAGGCTGGAGTTCAATGGCACAATCGTGGCTCACCACAACCTCTGCTTCCTGGGTTCAAGCAATTCTCTTGCCTTAGCCTCTCGAGTAGCTGGGACTACAGGTGTGTGCCACCATGCCTGGCTAATTTTTGTATTTTTAGTACAGACAGGGTTTCACTATGTTGATCAGGCTGGTCTCGAACTCCTGACCTTGTGATTCGCCCTTCTCGGCCTCCCAAAGTGCTGGGATTACAGGCGTGAGCCACCGTGCCCCGCCAAGACCCTTATCTTAATCACATCTGTGAAGACCCTTTGGCCATGGAAGGTAACATATTCACTGGCTCCAGGATGTGAACATCTTTGGGAGACCACTATTCTGCCATGGCCTGGCTCCTCTCCTGAGATCCCATCATAGCCCAGGCCTGCATGCTCCAGATTTCAGTCCAGTGGCAAAGAGTACACTTTTGTATTGCTTGCCCTGGGAAATACGCCGGGGTTGGCTGTGACTAGGCCAACTTGGGTCGTTAGGCTCACTAACAATCCAGTCACTGCAGCCAGCGGGATGGACCATGCTGCTTGGTTAGTACTAAGTCTCAGGTTCATCCCTGGAACTGAGATTGGGGTCAGCCCCCTAATGACCTGGAAGAAAGGAGGGGAGAAGTTTCCAAGGAGAATTAAGGAGGTCTTACAAAAGAAGAGGGAGTAGGTGCTGACCACTACCAACCACAATGATCTTGTGAAACACCGTGATGCCCATTTTGCAGGTGGAAGAGATGGTGAAGTCACACATGAGGTCCAGCCATGATTTGAACCCGCGTGGAGGAGTTCTTGCTGCTATATCAGGCCTCCTTGACCCCCAGCTAAATGTGGCATTGGCAGATCTGATTAATGCTGGAATGTTATGTAGCTCAGCTGACCTGGGTGGCAGCCTCCTTAGAGGTTGGCATGGGACCTACTGAGGAAGGCACATGGTTAACACAATTACTGGCGAGGTAGATACCCTCAGAGAAAAGGGAAATTTCCATTTCACTCCTGAAAGACTCTTTAAAGCCAAAACTCAAATCAAAGAGCAAAGTATAATAACTTCCTCTGGGCAAATTTATAATTAATCCTGGATTAATTGGCCTTAATGAAGTTGAATTAATTACTAGCTGTTTGTAAAGAACTTTGAACTACCTTAGTACAAAATGGCATTAAAGAAACAGAAAGGAACCAGCATCGCATTAACATGAAGAACAAATCCCAAATAATCGCAGTTCTGCAGGCTGTTTCCCGTCACTAATTTTCCCAGGGACTGTGTCCAGCCTGTGGAACTGTAGGGGGCCCAGGGAGTCTTTTGCAGAGGAGGATGTCTTCGTGGGCTAGAGGTTTGGGGGTGAGTGCATTCAAGAAGCAGATGTGGGGTTTTGCGTGTGCCAGGCCCAGAGCTATCAAAGATGTGCAAGGTGAGGCCCTTGCTCTCTAGGCATGCTCAGCTACCAGGAAGGGGAAGAGCTCTGGAGTACCTGCCTGGTGTAAAGCAAACTTGGCTTAGTGGGAGGGAGGTAGGACAGAAACAAAGTACACTATAGGAGGCGTGAAGCAACCTGCATTTTGCTGGGAATAGCTCTCCATTTCCTGTAGGGGATCCCCTGGTTCCTCCTTATCCCCGTTCTTGGGGTGGGCTTATGACCCACACCTGGCTAGGCAAAGCACTGGATTTCTCTCTTGGTGCAGGGGCACATGACTTCATCAGGGTCAAGGAGACTTGATTTGGGGACTTTGTGGTGCTGCTGACAGCTACTTTGTCATTGTGAGGGGGGAGCCTGTCTGGGAATGGAGACAACTCAGAGGAAGGAGGAACGGAGAGAAAGAGACAAAGTCAGTGTCCTCATGTTGTCATCTGAGCCCCTGGATGAAGCAAGCTCTTCCCCCAGACTTTTTAGCTAGGTTTATTTATTTAAATTCACAAACACTGATATAGCACTTATTAATATACCAGGAATTGCTCTGAGTGCTATAGACATACCAATTCATATAATCATCACTACCCTGTGAGTTAGGAAGTATTATGCCCCTTTTGACAAATGAAGAAACTGAGGCACAAAGCAGTTTTGTAATGTGCCCAAGGCTCCACAATTTCCAGCTGGTGGGAGCAGGACTGGACACAAGCAGTGTCTGTGCTTTTCACTATACCATGGGCCAGCATGTTCCCTTTTTTGCTTAAGTCAGTTTCACTGTGAGTTTCTGTCATTTGTCCTCAAAAAGCATGACTGTGCAGAACATGACATGAAGGCAACCAGTCCAGTCCCTGGAGGTTCAAGGAAGCTTCCAGAGGGCGTGCCAGTCCAAGGAAGTAGACCGCGGGCGAGTGTTGGGGTGGGGTGGATGAGCATGGTGTGTGTGCAGGATTACACAGGTTCAAGGTCACCAGGCACAGGGAGAGAAACAGAGAGGAGCATGGCGGGGTGGGCTGGGGTGGGGTGAGGAGTCAGTCTGTCCACAGGGGACAGTGATAAAGCATTTGTAACTCTTCCCTTGGGGATACAAACTAAGGAAACTTAGTCCCACTGGTGCCTTTAGGACATTTTTTAAAATTTTGAAAAATGTATTTCTTGAATAGGTAATACTTTCACATGAGTTAAAATTCAAAAAATGCCAATGTGTTTCAAGTAAAATGTCTTCCTGTCTTCCCTCCAGCCCACCTATTCCCCTCCCTGGAGATAACATTTATTGAGCACCACCTATATGCACTGTGCTAAACCCAGGGGGAGACAGATAATGAGGAATGAACATAATAAGGAAATAAACCATACACGTATGTTCAAAGGTGATATGCGCAAAGGAAAAACTGGAGCAGGATAAGTGGGATCAGGAGTAGGGAGGGGACTGTACTTTTAGAGAGGCTGTCCAGGGCAGGGCTCATGCAGGACATGACAGTTAAACTTGGAGGAGGTGAGGGGTGAGCTGTTTAGAGGTTTGGGAGAAAAATGCTCTGGTCCTTGCTTGGGGGTTTTGAGTAACAGCAAGGGGGCTAGTGTGGCTGGAGCCAGAAGAAAACAGGAGATGAGTTCAGGAAGGTAGCATGGTGTGTGTATGTGTGCGTGTGTGTGTCTCTGTGCATGAGCGTGTGTCTTTGTGTGTGCATGTGCATGTGTGCGTGCGTGTGTGTCTCTGTGCTTATGCATGGTCCCATTTGCCTGCTGCTGCGCACACGTGTGTGTGTGCGTCTGTGTATCTCTGTGCGTGTGCATGGGTGTGTGCATGTGCGTCTATGTGTCTCTACGTGTGTACATGGCCTCATTTGCCTGCCGCTGTGTGCATATGTGTGTGCGTGCATGTGTGCATGTGTGTCTCGTGTGTGTGCATGTGTGTGCGCATGCATCTCTGTGTGTGTGCACGCATGTATGTCTCTGTGCGTGTGCATGGCCTCATTTGCCTGCCGCTGTGCGCACGTGTGTCCATACGTCTGTGTGTCTCTGTGCATCTGCACGTGTGTGTCCGTGTGTCTGTGTGCATGCATCTGTGTGTGTGCGCGCACATGTGTGTGTGTGTCTCTGCGTGTGCATGGCCCCATTTGCCTGCCACTGTGCTGTTGTAAGAACTGTGGCTCTTGCTCCAAGTGAGATGAAGAGACAAAGGCTCACTCCAGCTTCTGTAAGCAGAACAGGCTGTAGGAGAACAAGAGCAGATGCAGGGAGTCCTAGTAAAAGAACAGCTTCAGTAAATTAAAACCACGATGAGATACCACAACACACCTATTGGAAAGGACAACATTACAATTGCTATTGAG